AAAATTACAGGACAATGCACCTGATGAACACAGATGCAAAAATTCTGAACAGAATATTAGCAAACCAATTCAACAATACATTAAAATGATCATACATGATCAAGTAGGATTTATTTCCAGAGATATAAGGATGGCTCGACATATGCAAATCAATGTGATATACCACATTAACAAGATGAAGGATAAAAACCATAAGTTCATCTCAATAGATTCAGTAAAAGCATTTTGCAAAATTCAACATCCATTCATGATTAAAAACTCACAACAAAAAAGGCATAAAGTGAACAAACCTCAACATAATAAAGACCATATATGACAAACCTATAGCTAACATCATACTCAACAATGGAAATTTGAAAGCTTTTACTCTAAGATCAGGAACAAGAGAAGGATGTCCACGCTCACCACTTTTAATCAATATAATATTGGAAGTCCTAGCTGGAGAAATGAGGCAAAAAAAAAAGAAAGGAAAGAAAGGAAAGAGAGGAAAGAAAGAGAGGAGAGAGAGGAAAGAAAGAGAGGAGAGAGAGGAAAGAGAAGAGAGGAGAGAGAGGAAAGAGAAGAGAGAGAGGAAAGAAAGAGAGGAGAGAGAGGAAAGAAAGAGAGGCGAGAGAGGAGAGAGAGGAGAGAGAGAGAACATCCAAAAGAGAAACAAGTAAAATTGTCTTTATTTGCAGATAACATGGTATTATATATAGAATACACTGAAGACTCCAACAACAACAACAAAAACCTGTTAGGATAAATAAATTCAGTAAAGTTATAGGATATATCATCAATATACAAAAATCAGTTGTGTTTCTCTACTCTAATAATGAACCATCAGAAATAGAAACTAAGAAAACAATCCCATCAAAAATATCTAGGCATAAATTTAACCAAGAAGGTAAAGGACCCATATACTGAAAACTATTAAGACATGATGAAAGAAAAGACATAAATTGAAAGATATGCCAAGATCATGAACTTGATTAACATTGTTAAAATGTCCATACTACCCAAAGCAATCTATAGATTGAATGCAATCCCCACCAAAGCTCCAATGACATTTTTCACAGAAATAGAACAAAAAATACTAAAATTTGTATGAAACCACAGAAGACCTCATATAGCCAAAGCAATTTTGAGAAAAAAAGAACAAAGCTGGAAGCATCTCACTTCCTAATTTCAAACAATATTACATAGCTTTAATAACCGAAACAGTATGATATTGGCATAAAAACAGACACATAAGCCAATGGAAGAGGATAAAGAGACAGAAATAAGCCACGTATATATGGTCAATTAATTTATGACAAGGGAGCCAAGAATATATACAAAGGGGAAAGGATAGTCTCTTCAATAAAGTGTTGGAAAAACTGAACGGCCACATATGAAAGGATGAAAATAGACACATCTTACACCATAAACAAATTAATTCAAAATGGATTAAAGACTCAAATGTTAAGACCTGAAACCATAAAAATGTTAGAAGATAAGACAGTCTGTGTAGAACACAAGTTCTTGACTCCATCTTAAAACTAATCTGCCATGTTGGCATCTAGGTGAACCCAGATCTTTGGTCACCTTTCCCTTGGGCAAGCTCTGAAATATGTACACAGAGCTCTGGGATGATTACAGGATTCCCATTAATTGTCTTTCCCAGGCAAGGCACCCTCAATGTTCAACCATAAGAAGGAAATCCTACCATTTGTTACAACATGGATGGACCTAGAGGGTATCATGCTAAGTGATATAAGTCAGAGAAAGACAAAAACCACGTGATCTCACTTATACATGCAATCTAAAACAAAAACAAAAATATAAACTCATATAGTGAACAGACTAGAAGTTGCCAGAGGGGTGGGGTATAGGTGAAACAGAGGAAGGGGATCAAAATATATAAACTTGCAGTTATAAAATAAGTCCTGAGGACATAATGTACAGCCAGTGAGTATAATTAATACTGTATTATGTATCTGAAAGTTTCTAAGAGAGTAGATCTTAAAATTTCTTATAAGAAAAAATAATTTGTAACTATGTGTGGTGACCTGACTTACTGTGGTGATCATTTTGCAATATATACATATATTGAATCATTAAGTTGTATATCTGAAGCTAATAAACTATTACATGTCAATTAACTCTCAATTAAAAAAATTATTCTTTGTTCTTTCCTATTGCTTCCACAAAAGCAATCTTGGGAACAAAAGAATCTTGGGAACACTCCTACTTCTCCATTCCCTTCTCACTACCTGTATTCCAAGAGAAATTTTTGTTTGGTTTGACTTATTGTTTGCTTGATGCTTCTGTCTTTTCATTAATTCTGCCTCAGTAGGAACTACTGGTTCTGATTTTCTCAAACCAGTGGGCAGGTACAGCCCAAACCCTCTGCCCCTGCCTTTCTTTCTCTCCTATGGTGACTACTGCCTTGGTTTCTATTATAGAAATTAAGATTTAGTCAGGGTTCCACTACACCTTAAGCCCTGTCCAGGTATCACAAATTAAAAGCCCTATGCCTGCTCTAGCCAAAGAACTCCTCATTACACCTGATTCCCTTCATGATCCATCAATGGGCTTATTTTCTTTTGTCTTTAGCCACATTCAAGCTGCCATAGATATAATCAAACAGTTGGTTTTTTAAGTATTCTTACCTATTGTTAATTCCTCTGAGAATGTATCTATATTATTCATATTTGGGAAAATACAAGTTCTTTAAAGGATTAACAGGGCAGCATCTGATAGTACTGACCACATTCCCCTCCTTGACAATCTTCTTTTTCTTTCTTATGACACCATTCTTCTAGTACTCCTCAAACATCTCTAGTTTATTCTCAGTCACTGTTTTTGGTTTCTCTTCTACTACACATCCTCCAACTTTAAATGCTTTGCCTCCTCAGGACTCTTGTCAACTTTTGTTCTTATTCTATACATTTTCTCTTGAGAATCATATAATAAATGTATTCGATTATGACTTACCACTAAATACTAAAAATATCTTCTGAGCTCAAGCACTGTATATATAACAACTAAACATGTTCATCTACTTCATAGATTTTTCAGAAGACTTTCAATCGACCTCAACAGAGCAAATGTAATTCATAATCTTAGAAATCTGCTCCCCTCCTGAATCAGAGTAATTCTACGTATTTTTTTTAAATCACAAAATGTATAATGCTTAAACACTATTGTTTCTTTCTCATGTAATCTAAAATGAGTTTTCCTGGTCAGCAAACATTTTTTCCCCACCTAGTGATTTAGAAACTCAGTCCTTCCCATCTTGTAACTCTAAACATCCCTTAGGGCTTCACTGCCATCCAGCCATTAAAAGAAGTATAACATGGAAAAGGAATTCTCATTTCTTACAATCCTTGAAAATAATGTACATCACTTCCAATAACATTCCATTACTGAGATCTAGCCTCATGGCCACACTTAAGATGGATAGATCAGAAAATGTGTTCCTTGGCTGAGTAGCCATTTCACAGTGACAGCTCTGTTCTATGAAAGAGGGTACATGAATATTGGTGAAGTTAACCTTTCCTGCAACCTCTTCCTATTTTCAATCTTGGTGTATGGCACCATCCACCAACTACCCATTTACCCAAATGAAAAATCAAGATAGTCTTCGCTTTTTTACTTATCCCTTACCAAATCACCAAGCCTATCGAATTTCGAGTTTCTAAATCACTGTGATAGCTCTTCCCTTATTTCAATCCTTACAGCCACTGCTCACCTTCAAGCCCCCAATATTTGAGTCCTGCCACTTCTCAAATCTCTCCTCATTGTTGCCAGACACAACTTCTTAATACTCCAATTTTATCATACTCCTCTGCTAAAATTTTTTCAATGGCTGTTTGCTGATAGAAAATTAAACTATCATGTGGCATACAAGATCTTTTATGATCTGGCCATTTATATTGTGTAAAATTATCTCTTGTCATCCCCCCACCTTATAATTTGTACTACAGTAGTAGCAATAACAATAACTAAAACAAGTTACTTGCAGTTTCTAAAACTAGCTATACTCTCTCACATCCTAGTTTCTATGTTGCTCCTTCATAAGATGAAGGCAGTTAGTCCTTTTGGTAAGTTTATTCACTTTATTCAGTTTATTCAAAACTTTTCTCCTCAATCATATCTTCCTCCTGACTACACATGAATCTTAGAACTGCCTTTTACTAGGTTCCCACAGCCTTTTTGTACAAACTTCAATGGAAGCAATTTATCTAAGTGCATTAGCTTTTTCCATTGTCTAGCTATTGAATTATAGCTTCTTAAAGATTGGTTCCATGTCCTTTCACTTCTGTACCTTGCAGAGTCTAATGCATAATCTTTATGACAACAAAAACTATGTCACCACTGTATCCCCAGTGTCTAGCATATAGGAGATATTCAATAAATAGCTATTAAATGAGTTCATAATGTATACTCAGTGCATATTTACTGAAGATAAAAAGAGAAAACAATTAGTATAACTGAAAATATAGTCAGATAAGGCAAGAATGTGAACCCTGGCTTGAGTGTGTGACCTTGAGCAAGTTACTTAATCTCCCTGAAGTTAAGTTTCTTTTGCTGTGAAGACTACAAGATCAGGCTCTTGCACTTTAAAGTACTTAAAGCTCCTAGCACAATGCCCATACTGTTATAATAATCATATTCCCTAATTATCAGCAGAGGTTACAACTTACATAACCAGTCTTTATAGATGTTTCAGTATTTCTAAAATCTAAAAAACATTTTCATCTTGGAAGAAATTTTGTAAGATTTATCAAAATAATTTAATGTTTACCTAGATTGGTTTGTCTCAAATAAGGCATGTTACAGTTTCTGAAAGGTATTAATTTTATTTCTAGATTTAAGCTAAAATTTCCCAAGTAAGAAAATGTAAGAAAAGGAGTTAGCCTAAAAAATTTTTTTCAGTAAAAGCTAACCTTAAATCAAAGTAAGTTACAAATATTAAAATATGACCTGATAATACAATTGACTTAATTGTAAAGTTAATGTAAGATGTGCTTTACCTCGCCAAGTCCAAAGTTCCATGATTGCTTAGAATGCAATTCTTCCAAAGGGATATTACCCCTAGGGTCATAAATAAGACAGTATTAAAGTTTGCTTTATTCTCTCTGAAAATTATTGTTCTACATTATGGTTTCCAAAGTCGGCTGCAGCTCGGAATTAGAAGAAAAGCTTTTTAAAAAATAAAGATTCATAAGCTCCATTCTAAGGGGCCTATTATGTGTGAGTCAAACTTGGTATATTTTAAAATCACTCCCTCAACTGATGTGGGTCTGAAGCCATGTTTAGAAAGCATGTTTTAAATTGTTTTTATAAAGTACATTTTAAAATTCAAGGCCTAAAATGATGTTTTCCATTCATAAATTTCTGGATATTTAGAGATTTGGTAGAGAATCTGTTTATTAAGTAAACTGTGAATCTATGTTTTAATTACTATGCCAGTCCCATAAATGGCATCTATGCATTCATTTTATAAAGATACTTTTAGTATTTCTGTAAGTACTTCCAGAAAAAAAAATCTATACTAGTTCATGATTTTCAATTACCAAATTACATTTGAGTAAATCACAATTACTACCTAGAAAGTTAGGAGCATTCCGAAACTACAAGTTCTGTGTAATTAGCTATAACTGCAGTGCCATAAACTATCAATATGCTTCCTTGTACTATTAACATTTTAATTTTATCACTCTCTTTTCCTGATTCTATCATAACCAAGCAACCATCCCATGGAAAGCTGCCCAAAGTTAGAAAATATGCTTATCATGCCATTAATCATTCCTATACATGTGATCTTTCCATTTCTTACTGTAAATTAATAGATTAATATTCTGGAGGACATATAGTTTCTTGAACACAAAAGTCAGTTTCCTTAAATCTAATTAACACCAAGATTCAGATAAGATTCTTTTGTGCTGGCAAATATGAACAACATACTCCCAAGTAGGGTGATATAACTAAGATTCTGACAACTGGTTAGGCTTTTTTGAGGCCAGTCTGCCCACCCTCAGACAGCAATATGCCTATCTCACTTTGCATCAGTTCAACTCTTCAACATGCATTATTCTAGATTCATATTCCCTAGATTCACCTAAAGACTTACGTATGGTTCACTGGATATTTCCGGATTTCTATCTGTGGTGTCTTCTCTTGGTAATCCATTTCAAATTTTCCTTTTAAAAATAAAAGTATGCATTAAAATAAAACTTCAGCATAGACTTTTTTTTTATTTGAAACTTATTAGTATTATCCATGTCAGCACCGAGCTAATCAAGAAGGGAAGGTTCGATGGTGAGACACCCAGTTGGAAGAATGAACAAAAGGCCGACATGAGAATGAAATGGCAGGCACGAACTTTATTGTGGGGAGTGCACTTCTATTGGGGGGCAGTGCGGTACTGTGTGCACTTCTGCTCCCCTTCTGTTTTCCAGGGGACCGCATGGCTCCACACAAAGCAGAGTACAATAGTGGCATTCAGCCACACATGCGTGATACAATAAGCTGAAGTATGTTTACATATTTTAGGCGCAGGTGCCCTACTACACTAATGTACCATTCTAAATCTGGGGTCTTATTTCTAGCTGTGAGCTTGGATTACAGCCAGACCTGGGTCCCACAACCTATATGGAGGGAAATCCCTGATCCACAATGTCACATAATAGAATATCATTCTATTTTTAATTTCATATTCCTCTAAATATATACACACACAAATACACACATGTGCATGCGTATGTATTTACTAAACATATATATTTAGTAAAAATAAATGTACTAAAACTGAAAATAAAAAGCTCAATATATTATTACATTTTCCATGTACAATACCAACCTTTTTTTTCAGAGCTGGGTGGATAACAATCCTTCTCAAAATATGTACTAAGATTGTTTCTTTCATCATTGCTGTACTCTTTCTGATAGTTCTTGTTTGGTTGGCACTTTTCCGGATAACCTGTATTAAAGTTAAAATTACTAAAGGTCAACTCTGGATCTGTAAAAATACTTCTAATGCATCTACCAGTGGAATGGTTTTTATCAGAGCTAGTGACTGCACAGATATCTCCCATCCTTTCATAACCACACTTGTCAAATGTTTTCTTTATCTTCTGTTGATCCATGCTTAATAAATTGATCAAATTTTCATTAATAAGAGGGTCCATTTTCTCTGGTAGAAGGCTGGAGGTTGGCTGGTTCATATCTTCAAGAAAATTTGAAACTTCTTTTCTATTTTCTCCCCAAATATCTTGTACTGATTGTTTTTCATTAATGGAGTCTGACTGTCTTCTCTCATCTGTGCTTCCAAAATCTTCACCCATAACTACTGCACATCTTCCAGTGAGAAAATTCCTATTTCCTGGACTTTGGGGTTAAAAAAAAAAAAACATATTTAGCAAAAAAAGGATAGAGCATTTTCATTTAGAAACTCTTAAATTCTTAGAGAACATATTGAGCAGCTATTAACATTTGCCTAGACTATTTTTTCAAATTTAAATAAATAATATTACTTCAGGTGGAAATTTGTCTAATGCAGTCCTGTTAATACCTTAGTGAGTATAAAAATAATCTACACTTACTTTAGTATCTCAACATAAAAAATTAGTACGTGGTTCAATTTACTGTTATATTCATGACCAAAATACAGTATGTCCTGTGTAATAATGTCTAGCAAATAACCTAGACAACCACTATATGTCACTGATGCTCCATTTAACCAGAGGAGATATTTTTAAGGCTGTACAGAGAAAAATTATCCCCAGTGTGCAAATAGTAAATCAAATAGTTATGAGGACACTATAATAGATATTTCTCAACCTAATAAGGATATAAAAACACCTCTGATGGTCTCAAGGATGATCAATATAGATGCAAATAAATAATAAAACCAAGTAATAAACTGAATTAAATGGTTATACTAATAACTTATATGTTCCCTTCCAATGAAGAAATCATAACTCCAGGTTATGTCCAACTTGTATATAAGAATCAAAGCTATCATAGAAAATAATTAGAAATCAAAATATTCTGGATTTTGTTGCCACTGTCTAGAAATTTGAGATTGGGTTGTTCCAGAGATTGGAAATACCAAAGAAATTTAGAAAAGAAACAGACTGCTAAAACTCTGATTGATTTCCAATTTTATTTTTTAAGTTACTTATTATTTAATAAACAGGTATACCTGCTGTGTTCTAGGCACTGTGCCACATGTTGGAGAAAGAGAGATAAAATAATTCAGTTTGATATTAAAGAGAGAGATGTTTTTTCAGTTCACAGATCATGATCCTACACTGTTTCTCAATATGGGTCTTATTGATGTTTTGGGCAAAATAATGCATAACTATAGTATACAACAGTATTAATCATCACCACCACAGAAGTTTCTCATACTCTAAATAAGAAAATTCATGTAAAAGCGCTTCAAAAGTTAGAAAACATACTACAACTGTAAATCATCATTTTAAAAAGTTATTTTAAGTATTGTGATTCAGGAAAATCATTCATTGAGAGCTTTGAGCATAGAGAAATGTACGGTGCAGTTATTTCTCACAAGAAAGTCTAGAAAAAGAAAAAAAACTAGAAAGTGATAAATGCTAGGCTACAGTCAAGTAATACAATAGTAAATAGAAAAAAAAAGGAAATTTGTTTGCTTGGGAAAAATCAGGCAGATAGCATTGGAGTTGGGGACTAAATGATGGGAAGGATTGTTACTTGCAGAGATGACAGAAATTATACTAAAAACTTAAGTCTTATTAAGACAAATCAATCCAACTTCTTTATTCTTTCCTACAGATAATATAAAATTCAACAGATACTTAATATATGCCTACTATGTGGTAGGAAGGCAATACAGCTTATATTCTAGTTAAGAAAAACAATAAGATAATTAACCATTAATAAGTAACAATGAAGAAAAGAAAGAAGTATACAAATAAGATAATTATAGTATTTTACATGTGCTATAAGATCACGTGATGGAATTTGTGTTGGAGGTCCTGTTCAGATAATTCGGCCAGGAAAGTCTCTAGTAAGAAAGTGATAAATAAACTAAATATACAGAATGGTTAGAAATGTATAGAAAAGAGTAAGTATATTCCAGGGGGATGGAATAATAAGCACAAATGCAAGATTTGCAGCATGTCTGAGAAACAAAAAGAAGAGAAATAAAGCTAGAATAGAAAGAAAACTTATTACCTAAGTCTTAAAAGATAAAAGGGCCTAGATTATGCAGAGATTAATTTTTGAAAAGAACAATAAGAAATATGGAAAGATTCTAACTACAAAAGTAAAACTTGGTTTTTGCCTTGAAAAATATCAATCTGAATGCTGGGTAACTATGAACTTCAGGACTTCCACCTGGACAAAATGAAGTAAGAATGACAAGATTTATCCCCCTGTCTGACAAGTTAAAAAACAAAAAATATATATATAAAACGATGGTTTTTAGACATGGGCCATCAGGTAGAACAGGATAATGATCTCTGACAGAGAGAAAACAAATGAGATAAACCTTATGATTGTTCCTACCTTAATGCCTGAAGAGAGTATTCAAGCCACAGAATAGAGACCAGAGCCCATAGACTCCCTTTGTTGAAGAAACAGAGCTGGGGGTTCAGAGAGATAAAGAAGATAGAGTTCACAGGGCAGAGTACCATGAAGGAGAGTGCTTCAAAGAGAGAGCGAGCTCCAGAGATCTAGAGTTTTCAAATCTTTAGGTAAGTAGCGATCAGCACATGCATCTGAGGTAATTACCTAAGGCTGGGAAAAGACCCACCCAAGAAGAGAAGTTGGAACAATTCGAGGAGCGCTCACACAGGGAAGGGAAAATTTTGTGTTCCTACCAGAGTTAAAAACCTTGTAATTCAAAGGACATCAGAGAATACTCAGAAAGGTACTGTCTTAGCCATAGACTGAAGACATATCTGGTCCTGCTTAACGAAAATTAAGGCCAGACTCAATAAGATCATTCTATTTCCAACTAATTGAAGTGTATCCCAGAACAAAGCTTAGGACAAACTTATACAATTACAAAAATTGCCAGAAACCAAAAAGATAAAATTCGCAATGTACGGAATCCAAACAAAATTACCATGAAGTCAAAGAAGCAGAAAGTTACAAACCATGAGGAGAAAAATCAATTATTAGAAACAGACCAAGAAGGAAACAAATGAAATAATTTGTAGACCATAACATTTAAAAGAGATAAAACCATATTCTCTATATTCAAGAAGATAGAGGAAAGACTGAATGTATTGAATAGATATATGTAAGACATAAAAAAGTTAAACCCAACTTCTAAAAAGAAAAATACACTGATAGGTTTTATGAGATTAGACAAAAGAAGATAGTGAATAGAGATATAGCAATATAACCTATACAAAATTAAATATGAGAGAAAAAAGATTGAAAATAAACAGAGCATCAGTAAACTGTGACACAACTTCAAGTGGACTAATTTACATGTGATTTGAGTCTCCAAAGGAAAGAGGAATCAGAAAAAATATTTGAAAAATTAAAGGCTGAATATTTTTTCCAATGATAAAAACTGTAAGTCCACATATCCAAGGAGGCTCAACACAGCCCAAACAGAATGAAAATGAACATCCTCATCAAGGATAGAATCCATGGTAGAAAATCGAAGATAGAACGATTTTTTAAAAAGAGAAAAATTTTATATATATATATACACATATTTTAAGATGACAGCAAACTTCTTATTGGAAACAATGTAAGCAGAAGACATCTTTCAACAATAAAGGCATATAGATATACAAAAGACGAAGGAATAACCATAAGACCCACACTACAAAAAATATTAAAGGAAATCTTTTGAACAGAGGAAAAATGTCATCAGTTGGAAATCCAGATCTACACAAAATAATGAAGATCACCAAACATGAAAATTTTGTGATTAAATATAAAAAACATGCTTTCTAATTTTTTTTAACTCTATATATAGTAAAAAGAATATATTACTGGGACTTCTAGTCAAGATGGTGGAGTAGGTAAACTCTGTGCTCACTTCATATCAAAATTACAACTAAATTATAGAACAACTATCAGTGAGAACCCTCTGAAGACTAGCTGAAGAGAATTCCTATAACTGATCTCATCTGATCTCAGAAGCTAAGAAGGGTCAGGCCTGGTTAGCTCTAGGATGGGGAATTCCTATTACTACAGATATAAAGAAGCCACCTATAACTAGTGGGAGGGGCAAAGATGTGGAATAGGAAGGTCTGACACCCACATGTGGCAATTAAGAATTGAGAGGGATATTTTGGCTGCAGAGGCCGCCCTAAGTGAGGGATACCAGACCCACACCTGGCTCCCCAGCCCAGGGCTCAGTGCCATAACATTTCACTGTGAAAACCAACAGGGATTGCATCTGCGAAAGACAAACGGCTGCAGAAGACCAAGACACATGCTCTTAAAGGACAGGCATACAAACTCATTGGCTCTAAGCTCCAGCACAGGGGCAGCAAGTCCAAAAGTTCCAGGGACATATGGGGAGAAACTAAATTGACTAGATTCAGGGCAAGGGCTAGAGTTTGTAAATGCCATTGTTCTTTTGGTGAGCTCTTCATTTGCCCAGCTGCCCAGCGCAGGTCAGAGCCAAATCTGTCCTCTCCATTAAACTGGCTGACACTGTTCATCCTGCCCCACCAACCTACTCTCCAGGCCCAGAACTATTCCAGTGGCTCCTCCACAAAATGGACTATCTCAGCTTGCAATGCAGACTTTCCCAAAATCTCTCAGAGCTACACAATGCCCCGCCTCCCCCGCCACACAAAAAAGCAGAGGCCAGCCTCAGTATACCCAGTAGCTCTTCCTTAGTGACCCAAGCACAGCATAAATGGCGAAGGGTCTCAACTTGCAATAACTCCAATCAGGTGGCCCCAAGCCTGGCATAAGCAGTGGCCAGTCTTGGACTGGAACATAGTTTCAACAAGGCAGCCACAATCCCAGCATAAGTCACAGATGGTCTCAGCTCATATTGTGGTGCCCATCAAAGGGCCCCAAAACTGGCACTAGTGGTGGCCAGCCTTGGTTCATAGCATAGCCTTTCTCAACTGCCTCCAAGCCCAGCACAAGCAGTAAACAGCTACAGAACACTTTGTAGCTCCTATCAGGTAGCCCCAAGTCTGGCACAAGCAGCAACTAACCTTGACCTACACCAGAGCACCTCCCAGGAGGCTCCAGACCCAACACACCTGGAGGTTGGCTTCATACCACATCAGAGCACAACCTAACCAGATCCACAAATGAAAGGGCAGACTCAGCTGGCACCACAGCCCTGATAAAAGTGACTCCCACTCCATAACATAACAGCTAATCTGCTGTAGTCACAGCAAGTCCTCACAGCCAATCAGCTTGAGGGTCAAGCCCACCCACTGACATGCCAATAGCAGGAAAGGCCCATCAAAAGGAAAGCACACACAATCCACACTGGGTACACCCCTAGAGCATCATGTTCAAGTGACCAAGGATACTATGCCACTGGGCCCACAGGATACTTTCTACATAAGGCCACTCTGTCAAGACAGGGAGGTGTAGTAGACCTACATAATACATACAAACACAGGGAGTCAGCCATAATAAGGAGACAAAAAAACATGTCCCAAATGAAAGAACAGGACAAAACTCCACAAAAAGACCTAAACAAAATGAAGACAAGCAATCTACGAGATAGAGTTCAAACACTGGTTATAAGGATGCTCAATGAACTTAGGGGAAGAGTAGATGAACTCACTGAGAACTTACGCAAAGTGATAAAAACCGTAAAAAAGAAACAGTCGGAAATGAAGACTACAATAACCGAAATGAAGAATACATTAGATGAAATCAATAGCAGATTACATGCAGCAGAGGACTAAATGAGTGATTTAGAAGACAAGTAGTGGAAAACACTCAATTGGAACAGCAAAAAGAAAAAAGAATTTTTTAAAAATTAGGATAGTTGAAGGGACCTCTGAGACATCAAGCATAACAGCATTCACATCATAAGGATACTAGAAAAAGAAAAGAGAAAGTGACTAAAAATCTATTTGAAGAAACAGTAACTGAAAACTTCCCTAACATGAAAAAGGAAATAGACAAGTCCAAGAAGGGCAGAGTCTCAAACTAGATGAACCCAAAGAAGTCCAAGACATCATAATTAAAATGTCAAAAGTTACAGATAAAGAGAATCCTAAAAGTAGCAAGAGAAGAACAATTAAGGGAGCTCCAAGCTGATCTTTTTAATAGGCCAGAAGAAAATGGCACAAAATATTCAGAATGATGAAAGGCAAAAATCCACAAACAAGATTACTCTAATCAGCATGGCTTTTAGAATCGAAGGAGAGATAAAGGGTTTGCAGACAAGAAAAAGCTAAAGGAGTTCACTGCCACTAAATCAGTATTATAAATAGAAAAGATGAAAAATATGAGTAAGAAAATACAGGAAAGGAAAAAATATCTCACTGTCATAGGCAAACGCTTGGTAAAAGCAGTAGATAAATCAACTACAAAGCCAGTACAAAGGTTAAAAGACAAAAGTAGGAAGACAAAAACTGCATAATTACAACAATAAATATAGGGGTACACACAAACACATATACATACAGAAGAAGGAAAAACTGACGACAAAAACAAATATGGAGAGAATGAGTAAAAATTGTAGTGAATTTAGAATGTGATCGAACTTTAAAACAGACGGCTATAAACACAGTTTGGTATATATGAAGCACATGGAAAACACAAACCAAAAATCTATAAGAGATATGCAAGATATAAAGAGAAAAGAATACAATCAGAACACTATAGAAAGTCAACAACATACAAGAGAAGGGGTCAAGAGAATAAGAAAGCAACAGAGAACTACAAAAACAATCAGAAAACAATAAAATGCCAATAATTGCATACCTATCAATAATTACTTTAATTATAAATGGACTAAATGCTCCAATCGAAAAATATAGGGTAGCCAAATGGATAAAAAAACAAGACCCATACCTATTCTGCCTATAAGAGACCCACTTCAGATTTAAAGACACACAAGACTGAAAGTAAAGGGATAAAAAGAGATATTTCAAGCAAATAGAATGGGAAAAAATAGAAAGCTAAAGTAGCAATACTTATATCAGATATAATAGACTTTAAAACAAAAACTGTAAAAGGAGACAAAGAAGGGCATTTCATAATGATAACAGAATCAATACAAGAAGATATAACTTGTAAATATCTACATACAACATAGAAGCTCTAAAATATATATATATAGAGAGAGAGAGAGAGAGCGCGCGCGCGAGCAAGCGAGTGCGCGAGCTATAAAGGGACAGATCAATAGTATTACAGTAACAGTATGGGTCTTTAAGACTGGCATTAATGGATAGATCGTCCAGACAGAAAATTAACAACAGTGACCTTAAATGAAACATTATGACTAGATGGACATTTCACCTAAAAGCAGAAGACACATTTTTCTCGAGTATACATGTAACATTTTCCAGAAAAGACCACATGTTAGGTCACAAGAAAAAAAGAGTAAAATTAAATACAAAGAAAAAAGACAAAAGGAAATAAGAGCAAATTCAATGAATAAGAGAAAAATAAGAAACATGTGACACTGAAAGAAGATTCAGTGAGAAGATAAAATGTGTCTCTACTCAAGAATGACCAAAAAAAGAGGAACTATAACTTACCATATTAGTAATGAGAGAAAAGACATCACTACAGATGTTAAAGATTTTAAATGCATAATAAAGGGATTTTATGATAACCTTTAAGTATTTTACGATAACTTTAAGTCAATAAATTCTACAATATAGAAAATAAGATCCATTCTTTGTATAACACAAACTACCAAAGCTCATTCAAGAAAAAAATAAATATTAGCCTACACCTAGTAAAAAATGGAAAGTATAATAGTAAAAAAAAAAAAAAAATTCCCATAAAAAGAGCTCCATACCAAGTGGGTTCACTGATGAACTGTACCAGACATTTAAGGAAGCAATTATACCAATTCTAGACAAACTCTTTCTGAAAATTACACAGGATGGAATACTTCACAACTCATTCTATGACATCAACATTAGGCTGATATTAAAAACCAGACCAAGATGTTACTTTAAAAAAATGAAACCTAGAAAATAATCCCTCATAAAGATTAACACAAAAACTCCGAACGAATTTTAGCAAATCAAATCCAAGAATTTATAATAAGATAGCACGTTGTGACCAAGTGGAGTTTATCTCAGGAATACAAGAGTTGGTTTAACATTCAAAAAGTAACCAACGTGGAGAAGGATTTCTGGAAAGATAAGAGTGAACCAGACAACTCTTGCAAAAACAACCCTTTCAGAATCTGGGGAAGTAACGAAAAACATCCAATAAACTGAGAAGCAGTACCTCAAAAAAAAAAAAAAACTATTAAACCTTAGTTGGAACTACTAGTGGGAGTCTGTGTAGAGTTTAAGCTTTGGTTTATTGCCTTTCTTCCACCCCCAGCTCCATGGCTGGTAGCTCCACCAGCCAAGAAGTCTAGGGAAGAGGGTGGGGGAGCCCTATCTCAGGGACTTTGTGAAAAACAATCATTATCTTGGTGGTAAACACTGCCGTTGCTTGAGGCCGAAATATATAGAGCATATGATAAATTCAGACCCTTATTCACATGATGAATTCACGCCATATATAAAAATTAACTCATAATAGATCAGACCTAAATGTAAGATCTAAAATGACAAGACAGAAGAAAACATGAGAAAATCTTTATGACCTTGGCTTAGGTAAAAATTTGTTAGGTTTGACACCATATGCATGATTCATAAACAAAGAGTAATAATAGATAGAATTTCATAAAAATTAAAACCTTTTTAACTTCAAAAAGATACCGCTAAGAAAATGAACAAGGCATTTCACCAAAGATACACTAATGGCTAATAAGCTCATGAAACGATGCCAACATTGTCAGTCATTAGGGAAATGCACAATTAAAATTACAATGACCAGAATGGCATAAATTTTAAAAGACTGATTGTAGCAGTGTCGTCAAGGACATAGTGCAACTGGAACTCTCATACATTTCTAATAGGAATGTAAAATCATACAAATCACTTTGGAAAACAGTTTGCCAGTTTCTTGAAAAATTAAACATACACACACTATATGACCCAGCCATTGCACTCGTAGATATTTACCCAAAAGAAATGAAAGCATAAGTCCAAAGACTTCTACATAAACTTGTATAGCAGCTTTATTTGGAATAGCCAAAACTGGGGGAAATATACAATGTCCATTAACAGATGAACTGTGCTATGTCCATATGATGGAATACTACTCAGCAATAAAAAAGAATAAACTATTGATACAAACAACAAATAGATGAATTTCAAAATAATTACACTAAGTCAAAGAAGCTAGACCAAAAAAAGAACATGCTGCATGATGTGACTTACATAAAATTCCAGAAAATAGACTAATCAATAGTGACAGAAAGCAGATCAGCAGTTGCCTTGGGATGGAGGTAAGGGATGTGAAGTGGCCAGAGGAAAGGATTACAAAGGTGCCTAAAGAAACTACTCGAGATGATTAATACCATGTTCATTATATTTGACATACGTCAAAACTTATCAAAGTGCATATTTAAGTTCAGTGTATGCTGATTATAATGAGGACTAAAAGGAAACAAAAAGAACTTTTATGTGGCATTACAATTTTCCAACAAGAGGAAGTGGTAGCTTAGATTGAGAGAGAATCATAGAGATAGAAACATGAGTAAATAATTTTAAAGTTTATTAGAATACAGAATTGACAATACTTGTTGGTGAAACAGATATTGGGAGTTAAAGAAAAGGAAGGAATCAAAGACGACTTTTATTTTGGTTTAAGCGACTAAGTGAATAGTGGTGCCATTTACTAAAGTAAGGAAGACTGGAATAGGATTACAGAGTCAAGGTTTTTCACAATTATGAAGAGTGATTCAAACTGGTTTTACAAGTTTAATGGATTTAAAACAATGAACCAGAATTTATATACAGACGTCAAGAAAATAAAAGTAGGACACGGATCAACTGTCACAAATGGAAAAGAAGTTAATGTGTTTATGATATAGAAAAAGAAAACTAGTAATTCATGGAGATTATGAGAGATACAAAACACCCTAACCTAAAATATTTTTTAAATAAATAAAAAGTAGATGTGCACATTAGAAAAACTATTTTAATTAAATGCTATATTTTACTTCTAGCGGGTTTTTTTCCCTAGAAGCATTACTTAGGTCTGTTTCCATTTCTAACTAAAAATATGTGTCCATTAAAATCAAATAATTCAAAGAAAGAATGCCACAGGTTATTTCCTTCCACATCTTTGCTCACCTGTTTAATCTTTTGAATAATGTTCCAAATTGTGCTGTTTTATATGATGAACTGAGAGCATCTTGATTTTCATTTAATTCAGAAACCAAAGAATTAGAACAATTAACATTACTGAGCTGGAAAAAAAAAAAAAAAGAAAGAACCTGCCAAAATGGTAAATGTGCATATATACAATTAAAATTATTTACCATAAAATGCCATTTAGGTGGACATATGTTTAAAAATGTATATTTTAGTCTAAAATAAAGTAATTCTGTACTTACCGAAAAAAAAAAAATGCTATTCCAACAATGAAAGCAATATCAGTATTTGAACAATTGTTAAACTAATAGAGTTGGTACTATGGTGAGCTAACCAATTTCTTAGAGGTTTAAAAAAAGATTAAATTAAAAATACCCAGGACACCAGGATCTTGAGTTAAAAAAAGAAAAAAAAAATTTTTAATTTTTACATTCTGAAATACATCTGCTATAGAAAATACCAAGAAATGACCTTTTACTAAATTTAATAGAGTTAAAAAATAAAATTATTAAAGGTTACTATACCAAAGTACAATGGTAGTGAGGAAAATGTTTATATAAACATTATGTCTTGTCAACAGAAAATAGTTCCTCCCAAGGAAATAGCTGTACTTATCTTGGTTCTTGCATTTACTGAGTAATTTTACAGACTGCTACTTTAATCTTTCTGATTATCAATGTCATTGAGTACAAAAGGAGAGATTATGTAAAGACTGTTGTGAAAACAAATGAGATAACCCATCTATTTATGTGGAAAGTATCCTCTAAATGTAAGATATATTGGCCCAAAACTAATCTACACAGCAATAATAATTTATATATCTAGCACATTTTATTAATAAGCCATGAAACAAAGAAATGAGATGTCCAAAGACAATCAACGACAGAAATAGAAAAAAAAAAAGAGGAACAGAAAAAGATACTGAAAATCTTTTTTAAAAAATCTAAAGTTAGGAAGAACTGAAAATAAAGTCTCATAATACATCTTGGCCTCACAGAGACCCTGACAGAGTGCAGACAAAGTCATCTCTTAAAATGAGAAACACACAAAACAAAATACTTTATATTGGCTCAATACTACTTCTCTAGGGACAAATGAGATCCAGACCGTTTTTTCTTCTAACTTGTCTTTCAACTCATTTTCTTTTGTATTTTATAATTTCATCTTAATTCTCACTTTTCTTAAAATCTCTCCAAATAAACTATTACTTCCCTAATACTTCACATTATGCCTTAGGGACAATAGCCTCTCTTTTCTTTCTTCTGCCATATAAACATACCATTATACTCTTCTGGAAATAATCACTAACCTACAGTATACAAGTAGAAGATTATTTAAGTACAGATTACAAAGATTTTCATCATTTATCCTATAAACTATTTAACAGAGCCAGAATGAATTATAAGCTGATCTAGGATGCAAGTTTTAATCTCATAAAGTATAAACTAAATGAGTAATTAAATGTTTTTCATTTCATCATTCAAAAATCAGTAGGTCTTTAATAAGGCTAGTATATATCACTGAAATATAATACTTCATTTTCTCTGAAAAGTAGAAAACATACTTTAATACTTTAATAAAATTTA